ATATTTTTCATTGGTCACATTTTGTGGGCTCGGTCGTGGTCCGCAAGCTCCAGTCTCCAGGATACACCAATATCCTCATCTGCACCCACTCAGAGCTCGACCTCACCATCTAATCCGACGTTGACGACTTATTCGCCGCCCACAAGCCCTACTATGTCATCCTCGTTGCCGCTAAGGTCGGCAGCCTCCATGCTAATAATACCTACCCCACCAACTTTATCACCATCAATCTTCGAATCCAGACCAATATAACTGCCTCTACATTTAAACATAATACTAAAAAACTCTTCTTCCTCGGCTCATCCTGCATTTACCTCAAATTCTCCCTCAACCCATCCTTAAGAATGCGCTTGATATGGTCATTTTCTTATCAACCCCGAACAACAATGCTCGAGGTTGTTTTCGGTCATCTTGGGAGTTTGCTCAATGTGTCCTCTTCGAGTTCCTTTGTCGGGCTTTATTGTCGCACGTGACGATTCCACTTCACCTCGGATTTTTATCTTTGTCTCATTCTCTATTTCAAAAGACATACCTTAGTTGGACTCTACTTCCATCATCACACTTATCGAACTCCAATAAGATTGGATCCTAACTAGCTTACAACTCCTCATATTGAAATACTCAAGTTTTTTACACCTCCTAAATAGATAGGTTTTCAAGTATCATAATTCTATAAAGAGTGTGCTAAGTACATCTATAAATATAGGTTCTAGTTCAGGTTCTAGTTCATTATTCAGTTATGTTTTTACATTCAATTTATAGTCGTACGCTTATATTTCCCCGTTTCTCTAATTTAAGCATATGAGGGGTGAAAAGGGCACACCTTGAAGCCTTTGTTTTAGGTGTTGGAGATTTGGTTCATGATCATCCTCAGTCTTCAAACTCAAGAATCGACGGGTGAAGATTTTTCGTAATATCATTGGAGCTAATGGTGTTACCAAACGCATGAATCGAACACTTAAGGAAATGATGAATGTAATGTTGATTAATCCAGACTTACCTCAAAATATATGGGGGGAAGCTATACTTTCGGTAAATCATATCCTTAATAAAATATCACACAAGAGTAAGGACGAATCACCTTATGAGTTATGGAAAGGTCAGAAACCTTCCTACAAATATCTTAAAGTGTGGGGGTGTTTGTCAAAGGTACAAATACCTAAACCTAAACAAGTAAAGATTGGACATAAGACAATTGATTGTGTCTTTATCAGATATGCAAACAATAGTAGTGCATATCGATTTTTGGTTCATAAATCTGAAATAGTTGATGTACATATAGGTAACATTATTAAATTAAAGAATGCATAATTCTTTGAACATCTCTTTCCTTATAAAGAGAAATAAGCAAGTTCACACAAACGAACTTCTGATACTGCAATTGGAAACTATCAAGAAGATAGTAATCATCAAGTACAGGAAGAACTAAGGCGCAGTAAAAGACAAGGATTCACAAGACCTTTGGTCCAGATTTTCTAACACATCTGCTAGAAAATGATCTAAGAATGTTTATTGAAACAATGTCCACTCCCGAAACTCATTTTTGGAAAGAAGTGGTTAATAATGAAATTGAATCCATCATGAATAACCATACTTGAGTATTGGTTAAACTTCCTCCGAGAAACAAAGCTTTAAGCTGTAAATGAATTTTCAAAAAGAAATTAAAGTCGGATGGATCAATAGACAAGTATAAGGCTAGACTAGTAGCCAAGGATATAAACAAAAAGAATGACTAGATTTCTTCGATACCTATTCACATGTTACAGGGATCACGTCTATACGTGCATTGATTGTTATTGCTACATTGCATAATCTTGAAATACATCAAATGGATGTTAAAACTGCATTTCTGAATGGTGAATTAGAAGAAGAAATATATATGGAACAAGCTGAAGGTTTTGTTGCTCCGGAAAATGAGAATAAGGTGCGTAAGCTTATAAAATCGTTGTATGGATTGAAATAAGCCCCAAAGCAATAACATGAAAAATTGGACAAAGTTATGTTATCAAATGGTTTCAAAATTAATGAATGTCATTGTATGTCTATATGTTGATGATATGCTAATCATGGGAAACAATTTGAACATTATTATCTCGATTAAGAAAATATTGATAAAATATTTTGACATGAAAGATATGGGAGTAGCTGATGTGATTTTAGGGATTAAATTCTCTAAAACATGTGACGATTTTTCATTGTCTCAATCATACTACACTGAGGTTATGCTTAAAAAAAATTTAAGGCGTATGACGATAAATCAGTTAAAACATCAATTGACTTAAGTTTACACTTAGTCAAAAATACTAGTGATCACGTATCTCAATTAAAATACTAACACGTTATAGGTAGCTTGATGTATATTACCAACTGCACGTGTCCTGATATAGCATATACAATCAACAAGTTGAATAGATTTACAAGTAATCCAAGTAATGACAATTGGAAAGTTTTAATATGAGTTGTTAAATACTTGAGACATGCGATTAATTATGGATTACACTACTTAAGATATCCTGCAGTGTTCGAAAGATATACCGATGCAAATTGGATATCGACACAAAGGATTCAAAGTCTACAAGTGGTTATGTCTTTACCATTGGAGGCGGAGCTGTGTCCTAAAAATCATCTAACCAAACTTGTATAGCTCGATCCACGATGGAATTTGAGTTTATTGCTTTAGATAAAACCAGAAAAGAAGTAGAATGCCTTCGTAATTTTCTCGAAGATATTCCATGTTTGGGAAAACCAGTACCTACGATTAATATACATTGTGATAATTAATCTGCAATTGTAAGGGCATAAAATAATATGTATAATGGTAAATCTCGAAATATTCGTTGGAGACACAATGCCATTAAACATTTGATATCGAATGGTATAATCTCAATTAACTATGTTAAATCAAATGAAAACATAGTGGATCCTTTGACGAAATGATTAACTAGAGATCAAGTATACCGTCTTTCTAGGGGAATGGGCCTAAAACTTATCAAATAGAATCAATATAGCGGAAATCCAACCTTGTAAATTGGAGATCCCAAGATCTTTGTTCAATTGGACAACTAAGTTATGAAAGATTCAGTGTAAAGCACTTACTCTCGTTCCTACAAAAAGTGCTGGAATAAAAATGTTCGAGAATAAGTGTATACTTTTAATGATTCCTATATCTTAATGTAGACAAGAAATGTATGATATAATACAATAGGAGATCACCTATGTAAGTGTGAAATTAGCTATGTCAACGAGCCAAGCCACAAGTCGAAACTCAAAACTCAGGCTCGGCTTTAACAAAATAGATCTGAACTTTTTTGGGCCCGAGCCGAGTCGGCTCGTGTTTTTTTTAATTAGTTATAAATCTATAATTTTTTATAATATATTTAAAATTTGTGCAATTTATACTATTATAAATAATAACTAAATATTAATATATAAAAAATATATCTAAA